CCTGGTACTTATATACAGTTGGATGATAGCATTACTGTAGTAATTTATCAATATTTATTAGCCAGATATTGTAAGTATATATTGTGTAAGCTCTTCAAGGCAGGGACTGTGTCATTCTGTGTTTGTAAAATAATAGCATATTTTAGGCATTGCTGCAATCTAAATGACTTGTTATACAAGATTTTAGCCAGAAGTTGTACCTTTTTAAAAAAAAAATTTGAAATTAGCTCAGCTCTCTATCTTAGAAAAAGAGAGACAATGCTTAATATGGGGGGGAGAGGGGGAATACTGTATACATTCAGCATTTACAAAGAAATAGGTGGTTTAAATCCTGACACATTAAAGTGGCTAGTACTGTGCAAGTACAGTAAGTAATATTTAAAAGTTACTACTGTGCATTTGGATCAGTTTGTATTGTTATATGCTTTCATGGTACAGTGTATAGCATGAAGTTTTTTAAGATGTGTGCTATGACTGAATGTTAAGAATAATATACAATCTTGGCTAAATCTTAATTGCTCTATTGATGCATCTAATTTTGAAAGTGCCTTGGATCAGATTACACTTCAGTAGGTCACTATTCTTGAGGTTCAAACATAAACATTCTCTTAAAAATAAGGACATTCAAAGCTCAGGATAGAACACTATTAAAACCATCTAGCCCTGCGTATTGTTTTATTGCATCCGTTTCAGGATATCAGAGTGGGCGATTGTATGTTGTAGTATTCAAGTACAATCCAATAGGTTTAAGTATTGAATTTCAGCCTCAAATCTCCGCCTCCCAATACACTCACAAAAAGACATTTAAAATCATTGCAAACATAAAGTTACTTCATCCTTGGTGCCAGCTAATTGGCACCAACACTTTGTTCATAGGTGGGAGAATGCTACAACTAGCTTAAAATGATCTGATACATCTTAGTGTTGGAGTAGTATGCATTGGGGGCCTGATCCAAAGCCTGCTGAAGTCTGTGGAAAGACTTTTATCAATTTCGGTAGTATTGATCGAGCCCTCTCTGACTCATTGTCAATCTTCATAAACATAACACCTGAAGTAATTTATGAAAAATAAAAATATCTGATATAATTAAACTGTTGTTCATCATACCATTAAAATAAATTTCTAGCTGGAGGTGGTTGGATTGTAATATTACCATGTTCCATAATTTTAATAAAATTAAATACTCTCTATGGATTACTAAAGTCTTTATGCATTTACAATTTCATGCGTGCAACAGTATGGTTTTGTGTCTTCATCTGAACTTGTGGAAAGTTTTCATGAAGCCATTTTGATAATGAGGATTGCAATCTCCAAGCAGACATGATATTCTCAGTTTGCCACCCTGCTGTTCAGGGGGTACCAATGAAGTTGCTTTAAATGGGAAGCGTCTGTTCTTTCTCTGAACCCCTAACACCAGAACAGATGGGTAGAACGTGGAACATGGAAGGTTTTACTTCAAGAGGTGGTAACAGTGAAGCCACTCATTAACACTGAATTTACCACTTCGTTAGCAACATTGCTTCCTGTTGAGAAAAACTAATATAGGCTCTCAAATTGACTGAGCATACGTTTGTCTACCTCTGTGAATATAATAAGATGAAAAAAATACAAATCTTTTCAGAATAAATAACTTAAAAAGATGAAATCTCTAAACTCTCTTTCAGAATGATTGAATAACCTGATATGATTCAGAGTTCAATATTTTATACTTATTCCATGAGAAATTTGACAGGGAAACTGTGGAGCATCCTTAGAGTTTGCTTTTCTTTTAACTGACATTTGCACTACTGCTTTTTAGTGCATGTTTGTGCTACCCATTTTTAACTTGTGTATGTGATGTAAAGACTCCTGCTGGGTGCTGCATTATCGCCATTTTAGGGTGATAACATTGAATATGATCTTATTATAAGTCTTTTAATTACTGTGGAAATTTGCTAATCTCAACATTTAATAGAATTTTGAAAATTGGAGAAATGGAAGGATTAAAAATTGATGTTTTGTCTAGTTAGGTTTACTTAAGGATATGGCATAAATCTGTTTAAACAATGTAAGACAAATCTAGTTTAAAGAATCTGTCATTAATGTATACTTCATGTATTTGTGACTGCACACTGATATGAGTAATACTATATTACTTTAATGGAATTGTTCTGAGTATTGATACAATGAAGAAAAGTTTTTAATATATATTGCTTGTAATGGAAAGCTATTTTCATTATACAACAGTACTTGTATTATCATTTCTTCTTCACACTCTTTAGCCCAGTTTAGTTTTTATAAGGTGGTACAGAATAACCATGCCAGGAAAATAAGATAGTAAAAAATTGTTGTTGGGGGGAGAGGGAGAAAATTAAGTGTGGCTTGGTAAATCTGTGCTTTTCCTTCTCTGTAAATTGGCTCCAATATAAACAGTATAGCAGCTGCATTTCCATGAGGACTGGCATTTGCTGGCTTTGTGTTAGAAGGAGGAGATTGTCTTTAGGGTGAACTATGAAGGATTTTTTTTTAAAAAGACACTGTGGGTCCATTTTACTACTTTTTGATTTGTTAATAAGATGAAAGTGTGCTTTCTTTAACTTACTGCTTGATTTCTATTTTTAATTTTAATTTTAGGAAAAAGGGATGTCTAGTGTGGTCCTCCTTGGTTTTGTTGAAGGACCATTGGGAGGAGTCAGAGATGTTTGTTATGACGCTTTAATTGAAGGAGTGTAGGTGATGACTTTAACAGAGGCCTTCTTTATTCAAAATGTTAATTAGTAATTGAAGTTAAATAGGTGTTAACAACAAACAGATAACAAAGATCAAAATTTTCAAAAGTGCTTAGTGATTTGGGCTGCCTCAAGTTTTGGGTGCCCTGTTTGATACACCTTTTAAAATTCTCTCTCCCTTTCCGTTGCTTAACTTTCACTTTTTGTACCCTTGAGATGTCATATTACACTTGCTCTTCAGTTGCCATAGTGTTCCATTCTAAATGGGGTTGGAAATCCTAACCAAGTAAAAGAAAAAATATTTTTGGAGTTGAGGAGGAAGGGTGCGGAGGAAGAAGGGAAAAATCTTTCAGGTGAACTTTATGTAGCATAAGGAAGTAGTGAAAGACAGACACCCAACTTCTCCTCTTTTTTGCAAGACACATTTAAATTCATTAACTGATTCAAATAACCCAGGTCTGTCTATATACTCAGTGTGCTTTGCCATGTTTATATCAATGCTTATAGACTAGAATTAGGTTTTTGTTTTCTTCTTTCTGGTGCTGGGGAGTTCCTTGACCACTAGAACAAAGGTTTTAATAAATTGTTCCATAGTGTCAGGTCTGTTGTGGCAGACACCTTGAAGTGGGTGATGCTTTCAGATACAGAGCAAGTTCTCTTGGTTAACTCTGCAGATGCTAAAGGGAGCTTTTGACTTTTCCGATGATGCAAGTTCATTGAAATGATTCTAACAGTGATCTTGGAAGCCTTTATTCTTTTCCAACTGTAGGTTTATGTCTGTAACCACTAGTGTGTAGATTAGAACGTTTATAGTAAACAGCTAAAAATGAACTCTCCGTTGGTTTTGTAATCCACATTAATGTACTTATAAATTGTATTTTCAGTATTTTTTGTTAATAATACTTTCCTGCCCTTTTTACATGCATGTACTAATTCATTTTTTAATCGGGAGATTAAATGTTGTATAAAGAGATGACTGGCGGACAATTTGGGGGAGAGGGAGACATCAAACTAGTATCCTCATTAAGCACTGTTGCTTTTACTTTGTTATAAAGTTGGTTTGATTTACCGTATATACTCGTTCATTAGCCCGTTCGTTTATAAGCCGACCCCCCAAAATGGATAGGTAAAAATAGCAAAAACTGTATGACCCTTTCATAAGCCGACCCTATATTTCAGGGTTGGAAAACTTTGGCTCCCGGCCCATCAGGGTAAGCTGCTGGCGGGTCGGGACATTTTGTTTACCTGGAGCGTCTGCAGGCATGGAGCCCTGCCACAGGGAGCTGAGGGGCTCCATGCCTGCAGACGCTCCAGGTAAACAAAACGACAATGTATTAGATATTCAATTCAATGATTCCATAGAGTTTAAAATCATCAAATTTTGGTGTAGACCCATTTGTAAGCCGACCCCCGCTCTTTGATGCGTCACTTTTTTACCAAAAATATTCGGCTTATGAATGAGTATATACGGTAATTAAGAGCTAACCATTGAAAACTACACACTGAATATAATAGAAAATTTCTGTAAATTGTCAAGTGCAAAGCCAGTGAAGTTTGTAAGGTGAGCAAACCCAACAGATATGGAACAAGGTATTTAGGCCCTGATTCTGCAACCCCTTTACTACTGTGAGTAGTTCCACTGGAATCACTGGAACTACTCCCCATAGTAAAGTTAAGAATGTGTGTTTGCAGGATTGGGGGACTTAAAAGTTCTGCTGGTGTTAAGCTGCACAAGCCAATTACTTCCAGTTTCCACTATATTTTCCCTTTTAAACAAATACAAACTGTAGGACATTAGAAGGGGGAAATGGTGTTAAGGCTGCAAGATCAGGTTGTAAGCACTTTTGGAAATTCCACAAGTTAAGGTTACTGTCTGCCCATTGCAAATACATAGGAAATACTATTTCTTTTCCTTGCAAAATGTTAATGTTAAGGTATATCATAAAGTATACAGGCTGTGTAATGTGGCTAAGTTAATATTGTTATCTCAAACTTAACTTTTTGAACTTTCAGTTTGTTTTTAATGCTTTATCTTGCAACCTTAACGTTGCACAAATTAGGGGAAGAGGTGCATTGGATTCACTTTATTTTTCAAGTTAATATAGAAAACAGTCTGCCCTGAATCTCCTAAATGAAAAGACTGAATTGTTTTAACACAGTCAAAATGATTTTTCAGCTTTAAACAGCCAATCATAATACAGTACATTGCTGCAGAAATAACATCAATTTAAAACTGCTTTTATCAGCTATTTCTGTGCATGTCTAACTACTGTATTTTTTTTTATTTTTAGTATAAATGTGCTTAATAGACAGACCAGCAATATGGATGATTCAAAGATAAATACTGAGATTACTGGTGCTAAAGAAGGACTCCTAGATGACAGCAATTTCATCTCCGAGGGAAAAAGTGGCATTCCTAAACCACAAGAGAGTGAAACATCATTTCAGAAAAACAATATATTGACTCTGCCGGAAGAGCTGTCAAGGGACAGATCCGAAAAAGCCTTAAGTGGAGGCCAGAAGTCTCTATTTATACATACTGGTGCTCCTACTGTTTCTACCGAAAACTTTATCTTGCCTAAAGGAACTGCTGTTAATGGACCAGTTTCACACTCCACCTTAACTAAAACTTCCATTATGAATAAAGGTAATGTTTCATTAACCACTGGACAACCTGTGGGTCATACAGATTCCTGCTCAACTTTGCCAGCGGTACATGATCTCCAGCTGCCTGCAAAGAGTACAATACAGAAATCAAGTCAACACCAAGTGTTATTTTTGTTACCTGATGTAGCACAGGCTAAGAACCTGACTCATTCCATTAAAAATCTACCTACCTCTGCTTCAGTTGGTTGTGATATACAGAAATCAATAGGAAATAGTGTGAAATCAGATAGCACTTTAATAAGCCAAGTAGAAGTGTGTGAGGATAGCAAAAGTTTACTAGTAGACGATGATTGTGTCAATACATTAACAGGAATTTCCTCAGGTACAGGTGGTTTCAGATCAGGAAATGATACAAACTGGGATCCACAAAAAGAGTTTATACAGTTTCTTATGACAAATGAAGAAACAATAGAGAAGTCTCCAGTTCACTGTAAAGTAGGTCTAGAGAAAAAGAGAAAAAGAAAAATGGATGTTAGCAAGATAACACGTTATACGGAGGACTGTTTTAATGATACAGATTATATTCCCAGTAAATCAAAATTACTAAATGTTGACTATTTAGAGCAGAGTGAGGATCTAGAAGTAGTAGAACCACAGAAATATGCATTAACAAAAGTGAAGCCTGAATCAACAGATGAGGAGTTAGAAGCTGTTGATGCTATCCAACAATTGATTTATAGTCCTACTAACAAATGTGCAGAAGATACTTCTCCAGTTCACACTAGCACTTTTCTTTCTAGTACTTTAAAAAACAAATGTGAACAGAATGATTCAGAATCACCATCTACTTTTAGTACTGATGAGCCATCATTTTATCCTTGTACAAAGTGCAATGTGAATTTTAGGGAGAAGAAACACCTGCATAGGCATATGATGTATCATTTGGATGGGAACAGTCACTTCCGTCATCTCAATGTTCCAAGGCCCTATGCATGTAGGGAATGTGGACGGACATTCCGAGATCGTAATTCACTTCTTAAGCACATGATAATTCACCAGGAAAGAAGGCAGAAACTGATGGAAGAAATCCGGGAGTTAAAAGAACTTCAGGATGAGGGTAGAAGTGCACGATTACAGTGTCCACAATGTGTATTTGGTACCAATTGTCCCAAAACATTTGTGCAACACGCTAAAACCCATGAAAAGGATAAAAGATATTACTGTTGTGAAGAATGCAATTTCATGGCTGTGACAGAAAATGAACTGGAATGCCATAGAGGGATTGCTCATGGAGCAGTAGTGAAGTGTTCAATTATCAGTAGTGATATGTCCCAGAGAAAAACACAGAAAAAGACTTCAGTGAAAGATCCATATATAGGCTCATCAAAAAAGTCAACCACATATATGTGCAAAATGTGTCCATTTACTACATCAGCCAGAAGCATTTTAAAAAAACACATGGAATACTTGCATCCAACATCGTGCATTGATCCATTTGGTAGCCATCTTAGATTAGAAAAAAGGAAAAGTAGCATAATTGAAGAACCTTTAGATTTTGGTAGCAGAACTAAACAATTGATCAAACAATCATCTACATTTCCAAAGAATTCTGTTCTAAAGCAAGATGTAAAAAGATCGTTTGGCTCAGCTTCACAATCCAGTAACTTTGCGAAACTTCACAAGAGACCCCGCAGGATACAGAAGGCTCGGAAAAGCGTTTCACAGTCAGCTGTAAGTGTGTGCAATCAAAACTCTACAAACAAGACTATTTTGATTAAAAATAGCATTGACCAAAAACCTAAATATTTCCATCAAGCAGCAAAACAAAAAGCTAGTGTCAAAACAAGCAGTAATTATTTATATAGGCACAAATATGAAAACTACAGGATGATTAAAAAATCTAGTGATCCTTATCCTTTACATTTTAAAAAGGAAGAGTCCAGCTCTGTTAGTTCTTTACATTTATTTTCATCATCAAATAATCCCCATAATAATTGTTTTATGATGGATTCTCATAATCTTGATTCCAAAAGCCCAGAAGGCTATAAAGACCGTAGGCGTGTAGCTGTAAAAAGAGTGGTTAAAGAGTCTAAGAGGGAAGGCTCTGTTACAGGAGATGATTTGGATTGCTATCCAGATTTTCTACATAAAATGACTGTTGTTGTTTTACAGAAACTTAACTCTGCTGAAAAAAAAGACAGCTATGAAACGGAGGATGAAAGTTCATGGGATAATGTTGAACTATGTGATTACACTGCACAGTCTATGGAGGATGAATCTTACAGTGATATTAATCAGGATCATGTAAACCTATTCCCTTTATTCAAAGGTAAAATGGAGGATCAAGAAGCTGGTGATAAATCCTCTCTTCATTATGAGCAGAATGATGGTTTTTATTTTGAGTATTATGAAGATGCAGAGAGTAGTAACTTTCTGCATGAATTACATGATCCTCAAAATTTAGAAAACGTAGGAACAGCATTGCCAAAGCATAACTCAGTTTTCCATTGGACTGATTTATCACTTGAGAAGAAGTCCTGTCCATACTGTCCAGCAACATTTGAAACAGGAGTTGGATTGTCTAATCATGTCCGTGGGCATCTTCACAGAGCTGGATTAAGCTATGAAGCCCGCCATGTTGTTTCACCGGAGCAGATAGCGACAAGTGACAAAATGCAGCATTTCAAAAGAACTGGAACAGGAACCCCTGTTAAACGAGTTAGAAAAGGTACGATTTTTTAATTTGGGTGTGCAGTGGGGGGTAGAGGAGGATATAATGGTCTGTTAATCATAAAAGAGGATGAATTATGTTTTCTTTCCTTTAAAAAAGGTGTTTTTTTGTACTCATGATTAAAAGTTTATAGTGTTAAGTACAGTTAAGTTGTTCAAAAATGTTTGGAAAAATTGATAAATCATTATTTTTTCTTTTTAGCTATTGAGAAATCTGAAACTTCTTCTGAACACACATGCCAGCTCTGTGGAGGTTGGTTTGATACGAAAATTGGATTGTCTAATCATGTGCGAGGACACCTGAAAAGGCTTGGCAAAACCAAGTGGGATGCACACAAGTCTCCAATCTGCGTTCTAAATGAGATGATGCAAAATGAAGAAAAATATGAAAAAATCCTAAAGGCATTGAACAGTCGCCGTATTATTCCCAGACCATTTGTCGCTCAGAAACTTGCTTCAAATGATGACTTTTTATCTCAAAATGTTATACCTCTTGAAGCATACCGTAATGGCCTAAAGACTGAAGATATTTCAGTGTCTGCATCCGAGGAAGAAGGTCTGAGTTTCCTAAATGAATGTGATGAAACAAAAACAGTACTACGTGATGAAAAAAAAAATCAGTCACTTACACTGATAGAACTTCTGAAAAATAAAAGGTTAGGAGAAGAAAGGAATCTTGATATCTCTCCTCAAAAGATCCATAATCAGACTGCAAGGAAGAGGTTTGTTCAGAAATGTGTTCTTCCATTAAATGAAGACAGTCCATTGATGTATCAGCCGCAAAGAATGGACTTGACTATGCAGTCAGGTAAGAGGCTGTTTATAGCTGTCTAACTATGCTTCCAAAGAGTTCTTTCATTTATTAGAAAAGGTATTGCAGTGTAGAATATTTTTCCTAGAACGCAGTTCATTTAACTCTTGTTTCCTTTACAAAGTACTGAGTGGGGAAAGAGAGTGCAATAAACTTCTAGTGTAACTTGCCCAACATTAGTGAATTTTCTTGCACAAAAAATAGTTCTTTTTCGGCATGTGGTTGGGGTGTGATTTAAAAGGAGCCAGAAAATAAGCAAAAGGTTAGACAAAAGTACAACCTTTGATAGCAAAATATGCTGCTCCTCAACAAAAATAGTTGAAGTAGCTGAGTGCAACCCTTAGACCTCCCAGAGAGTAATCTAACTTGTGCAGAAGCAGCATTTACCCAAGCTGACAGAACTATTCTCAATGTTACAAAGGCATAATATTTCAAAACTATGAACAACTATTGAATAATTTCAACATTTTAGGCAAACATGCTTCTTCAGCATAAATTAATGCATGTTTGTTGTATAATTGTGGCTGATGTGGGAAACTGCTGTTCTCCTTTTAGCCCTGTCTACCCTGGGAGAAGAACTGTGCTAGTTACAGCTCTGTTTGAACACAGTGGTTGCCAGCAGGGTTCTAACGCACAATCCCTGACTGTTGCGGGCAAAGATTTTTTTTTTCCATGAGAACTGTGCTAATAAAACAATTCTGTAATTTTTGACTACTTGCTAGATAGTCTCTAGCCCCGTTTTAGAACGATGTTCTTAACGCAGCTCTTGCAATAAAATCTGTTTCCATTGGTTAGGGAAACTCTACTAGTATCCTTTGATAACACCTTTGTGTAAACAGAATTTATAGCTAGTATGTTTCTGCTCCTAGTTTGGACACCGCTTTCTGGTACTGCAATATCCTAGATACTGAAGTATAGGTTCTTATTTTATTCCCTTAACAGTTTTTTATTTTGCTGGTTCTCTTGCCAATATTCCAGTGCAGTATAGCATATCTGGCAGTGCTCAATGCTTGTTCACCTGAATGTTTGCCTTTTTAAAAAATAACTTGCCTGTGCAGTAAAATCTGTCTTAAGTGACCACACAATTGTCTGACAAAAATCAGTTTCTTAACAAAGGTGACTTTCTAATTTGGCCTAACAAAGGTGGAACAGAATTATATTCAGTACATTTGGATATTTTTGGTAGTCCCTTCAAACAGGATGTTGCCTAATAAGGGAATTGTCTCTTCGACAGATTTCACTATATTTAGAAAAACATACTGAAGTATAGCTTGCCAAATTTAATACATTTACTTCTGAATGTTAGATGGTATCTATTTGGCTGTACTGAAAAATTAAGTGAAAATGAATATACACTTGCATAATACTAATAGTTATAAACAAAGACCTAAAGCTAGCTGTGGCTAAGATAATAGAATTTGACAACTAACTCACTACGACTGTTGAGTTAAAAAGAAAAGAAAATCTCTGTAACCATAAATTGCTTATCATGTAAAAATTAAGTTATTCCAAATATCTTTAATACAATTTAAATTTAAAAAATTGTCTACCAACCAGGTATTCTCGTTCTGTAATTTGCCTGAAAAGCAGTCTTTCTTCTGTGGATTATAGGATTCTTTCTATCCTGCAAACAGAAGTTTTCCAACATAATAGCTCTAGACATTTTTAAACTAACATATTTTAAGTTTTCTATAATATTAGTTGACATCATTGACCAAGATAATGTATTTTTGACAAAGGGAAGGGAAGCACTTTGATGTGGTATCACAGTAAATTTGAGAAGAAACCAATTATAATGGTTTCTTTGTCTGGTAAGTGAGGAGTTTAGTATTGTTTCACTATGTTTTCTTTCCTGTGATAAATAAGATGTTAGTTTGTTGATCATTTATTTAGCACAAAGATTTTAGCAAAAAACTTCAAATCATTAACTTTCATTATTGATTGCGCATCCAAAGTAATGAACATAAAATGCACTGAATAAAATGTTTTGTCTAACAGCTGTTCAGTGGTGTGTTTTACCACCTTTTCTCCCAGCCTTCATCAGCAGCCTAATTTAGTAGTGAGCCTTTTACAGTCTTGTGGGTAAAACACTTTAATTACCACTTCGTCAACTAGACTTTTTAATTCTCTTTATTGGGAATGTTGCAGGCTTTGAAACTTCTCAACAGAATTGTGCTATTCAAATCACAGGATTGTATTTTGGGGTTAGGAAATGATCTGCATACTGTGGAGATTTGCAGGAAAGTGATAATAGGTGTTAAATCCAGAGAAGCTTGGGGGTTCAAGGTTTACCCCCCTTTTCTTTCAAAATAACATGGTTTGGCTCTAAACACTACATGCAAAACTAATAATGGTTAATTTGGATCCTTCTAATATACTAAACGATTGCATCAATGCAGTGAATATATTTTAAACATCTTTATTACAGAAAACTTTTTACAACGCTTTGAGAATTTCATTTTTTGAAGAGAGAACTGGATTATAGTTTTCTTTTGAATGATAGGTATGCCTGTGAAGCTTAGAACGTGTGTGCATTGCAATACGACGTTTACAAGTGCTGTTAGTCTGTCCAACCACTTACGCGCTTATGCACGAAAGAAGAGTGCTGGACTTTTGACTGGGACAGGTATGTTTTGTTACAGATGTAAAAGCAAGTTTGTGTATGATGCATTTTCCTCATCAGACTGCACAAACTTATATGTTAATCCAAATGAATTTTGACGCTTTCTCTGGTAAACAAGTTGAATTAAGAGATTGAACTTCAGCAACTTGTAAACATATAGGTGTTGCTGTTGTCCATTTTTCATGTTTGTTTTTCATTCTTACTCACTCATTTTGGTCCAGCATTTCAGGTATGTAAACAAAGCTGCAAGCTGAGCAACTTTCATTCTTCACCCCAAAATCAAAATAGCTATTTGTTTTTTATGAAAGGGATATAACAGCTTTAAAAAATCATGCCTGTCCAAACACTTTTTACCTACTTACTATTACAAATAGCCCTTAAGAGTACTACAGTTGAAACAGATGAGCGAAAAATAACGAATTTTTCAGTCTATGCATCTGACAGCACTTTGTGTATAGTCAGTTTCACGGTATTCTCTGTTCATGTTGGTGGTTCACAAAGCAAAAATAATTTAGTAGTGGTACTATGAGGTGAATGTAGTACTGTCCTGACAATACTTTTAACTCATTCATATTACAATAAACTAGATTTCAGGTTGGTGTCCCTTACCATTTTATGTTGTGATCTGGAATAATATCCAAGGGCCTGATTCTGCAGCTGGCTCTCTGCAGGCAACCCCTTGTGGCCACATGAAGTATCACTGAAGTCAGCAGCAGGGGAAGATATCAAGGAAATCGGGAGTGGAGAGCCTGAAATAGAAATACTAGGTAACTGGGGAAGGCAGCTGTCTGTCACTCCATAAAGAAGAAACAAGCACAGGGAAAAGTAAACTTTGGTAAAAGTAGTGTTCCATTTTCTTAGCCATAGATCTTGCTAGTTATATGAAGTACAAGTCATATGTAAAGCAGGGATGTCAAACTTTCTATGAAGAGGGCCAAGATATGTTTTTAATTCTAGTCTGTAGGCAGAGTCTATGAAGGTTGGGTTGTGTGCTACCCTTGATTCACAGTGGATCTCCCACTGATAACAATGGGAGGTTTGAACAAAGACTACATGATAGAATCTGGCCCTTACATAATACACCGCTACCTCGATATAACGCGACCCGATATAACATGAATTCGGATATAGTGCGGTAAAGCAGTGCTCCGGGGGGGCAGGGCTGCGCACTCCGGTGGATCAAAGCAAGTTCAATATAGCGCGGTTTCACGTATAACGCGGTAAGATTTTTTGGCTCCCGAGGACAGCGTTATATCGAGGTAGAGGTGTAATTAATTTTGTTGTTAAGGTTACTGTTTGCAGTGTCACTCAGTGGGGAAAAGATGATGCACAGGGCTTTGTTACCATCGCTGCTGTTTTTGAGGTTTTGGACTCTTTGCTAGTGCTTTTATTCAGTTTATGCACACAGTTATGATAATTGTGCAAGATAGGTGCACAATTGCATATGTAAGTTATTGGAAATTATTGCTTTTAAAATATTTTCATTAGACTTAAAAGTTAACAGAGGAGGCACTGTGACCTAGTGTATAGAGCACGGGTCTGCGGCTCAGGAGACCTAAATTTGGTAACACTGAGCAGGTCATTCTGTGCCTCAGTTTCCCAATCTATAAAACAGAGATGATACTAACTTAATAAAGTCCTTTGAGATTACTTATGAAAAGTGCTATATAAAAGCTAGGTGGTATTAGTCTTATTATTTATTATATAACACACCTCTGAGATTTAGGGCAGTTCATGTTTTTTAGAGCAGTTTCAGGCTGTCTGCAAACTTACAGTGATAATTCTGTATGAGTAGTTCTTCATTTATATTTGCCCATTTGGAAGTTTTTCTTCTCATCTGGAAGAGCTAGAAACTTAATTTTTAACTGCAGAATTTGAATCTGGTCACAGAGAGGAGATAAATACATTAAACCAGCTAGAGGAAATCCATGGGTTGGGTGTCTCAAAAATGATGTATAGGAAGATTAAATTATGTTAGAATTCATTTATCCCCAGTAACTGATACTAGAATGCTACTAGTTTTCACTAGTGACTGGGAGACCCTTTGCAAATTACTGAGTTTTGTCAATTGGCAAGCAAATAAACAAAGCAAGGATAATGGATCACAAAATGTACTTTGAAAATTGTGGTTTTAATTATTTGATAATTCATAGTGTACCAGTAAATCTACTACACTGTTGTACATTGTGTAGGATGAGGTCTTAGTGATGTAATACCACACTACAAGCACTGTGCTCTATTTTTCTGAGAAGTGAGAAGAGATGGCTCTGTGTGAGTGCAGGTATTACTGAGCATCTCCTATATTGGGAAGATCCCAGTTCTTCTTGTCTTGTTAGATGAAGATGACTGTGTTTTAGAGAAATTATTATATGGG